ACGTATAAAATTTATTGAAAAATCTCTTAAAAAATCACTAAATAATAATAATAATAATAATAATAATAATTTATATTCACTCAATCTAAATACACTTAAAATATATATAATTTATAGTGTATAAAAATCTTTTAAAAATCACTAAATACGGACCAATATATATTTTATTTTTAGTTTTTATACGCTTAAAACGTATAACACATTTTTTCACTATTTTCAAAAATATTTTTTTTATTATTCAAAATACAAATACGTTTTGTTTAAAATTTTTATATGAATTTGTAAATAACTTATTTACAAAGTTTCATTCAAAAAAATTCAATTAACTTGACAATGTGATGTACCGCATATTTCAACATAAATGTAGGTTCAATTAATAATTGGTAATAGAGATAAATTAATTTGAAATAGCTTTGGAAATACAGATAAATTTAGAATGAATAGATTGGAAATAGTTTTGGAAATGGAGATAAAATTGGAATAGTTTTGTGAATGGAGATAAATTTGAAATAGTTTTGAGAATAGTTTTAGAAATAGAGATAAACAAATGAATTTTCAATTTCACTCTCAAAAATCCTTTAAAAAATCCAAACCAAACGGGCCAATATTTTTGAAATCCTCTTATTATTATCTATCAAATAAGATTCATGATGATTATAATCTTTTTTTAAATATAATAAAATTTTATTGTCAAAAGTATCATTAAAATAATAAAAAATTATTATAATTAAGGCTAACATTGAAGGGGCGTGACATGAATGGAGATAAATTTGAAATAGTTTTGAGAATAGTTTTAGAAATAGAGATAAACAAATGAATTTTCAATTTTACTCTCAAAAATGCTTTAAAAAATCCAAACCAAACGGGCCAATATTTTTGAAATCCTCTTATTATTATCTATCAAATAAGATTCATGATGATTATAATCTTTTTTAAATATAATAAAATTTTATCGTCTAAAGTATCATTAAAATAATAAAAAATTATTATAATTAAGGCTAACATGGAAAGTAAAATTTCACCATCACCATCACCATCACCTCCACTTCAATGATCACTACATTTTCATTTTTCATATGAAAATTCTTATGATTTTGAATTAGAAAAATAAATAAATATGAGATAAAATCAATTAAAAATACAACTTGCTCAATAAATCATGAAATTAATTATGAAAGATCTTAAACATATCTTTAATATGCACATGAAATAGCTATCAACAATTCAATTTCAATGATTAGATAAAAATTAAAAAATCTTCTTACAATAAAGTTTTACTGTATAAATTTAAAAAAAATTCTTACTAACTTGCATCGTAATGCCATACTACCACCCACTGCAACTAACTACCACAAATCACAACCCCTTTCTAATTTTCATATCAAAATCTTTATGATTTTAAATTTAAAAATCAAATAAATAAAACCTCAAATCAATAAAATTAAAAAAAAATTGTAACTTACCCCAAAAACATGAAATTAATTCTATAAAACAATTAAAAAAATTAATTCTATTAATTAGAAAAAAATAGAAAAATGTCTTTGTACAATAACATTTTACTGTGAAAATAGCTTTGTTTGGTTCTATTCTTGAATCATGATTCTACCCTCATATTCCAACTTTCTGTTTGATTATAGTTTTCAAAATATGATTTCAAATCATATTTCAAAACACATTTGAAAACATGTTTGGTAACCAAAGAGTTTTTAAATTTTTGAGTCTACCCAGTCGTCCACCCGAGCATCCTCTCGGACATCCTCCCGGACAATTTTTTGAATTTTTGGGTCTACCTAGTCATCTATCCGGACATCGTCCTGGATGTTCGGCCGGTTGACCGAAACAATGTTTTTTATTTTTTTGGTTGCAATTGCCACCCGTTATTTGAAAAAAGAAAAATTATATTTGCTTTTGATATTTTTTTAAATATAGAAATTATTTTTTTTAGACAAAAATGACAAATTATTTGGCCATTTATTTAAAATTAACAAAAAAAATTAAATAAAAATTAATTTGTCACAGTAATTTTTAAAAAATAAAAAACATTTTTAAAAAAAACAATTAAAAAAATCCAATAAAATATAAAATCAAAAGTAATTTTAAAGTACTAGCTCAATATTTTTTTTTTAACAAAAACTAATATCTTTTTTTAATATTTTAAATAAAAAAATATTTTTGGAATTTTTTAAATAAAAAATTTATTTTTTTTCAATAATTATGTTTTTAAATTGAATTTTAAAAAGAATTTGGTTATGAGTTTTGAATAGAATTTTGAATAGAATTTTGAATTGTATGTTTGGTTATGAGTTGTAAGTTTTTAAATTAAGTTTTGAAAACTCATTATAACCAAACAACTTTTCTTATTTCAAAACTCATTTCAAAAATTCAAAACTCATAATCAAATAAATTTTTTCTTTTCAAATCATGATTCAATGACTCACAAACTAAAAATAAAACTTTATTCTCAAATCATAATTCTAAAATTAAACCAAACGCTATCTAAAAATACTTCCATTAATGTGACAGTCTGTCCAAGTGACTGCTTGAGCGCAAAAAGTGGCGCTCGAGTGTAGAATTGTTGCTCCCAGTATCTCGCGTGTTTGTAGGTGGGCCGCTCAAGCGCAGAAAGTGCTGCTCGAGCATAAAAAGTGAGATTGCCCTTGACATTTTTTTTAGTGTATTTGGAGTCTCCTTATTTTATTTTGGGACATTGATCGAAGTAGTAACATGATGGTAAAGTCGGATTAGACCAAAAACTTTAATTCGAATAATCTTCCTACGAATAGCCGTCACTCTTTTGCCCTTTTCTTTTTCCACGCTTTGAATTTGGATGTGAGGCTAGAACCATTGGAAAGTTTGTTTCCAGGGCTTCGATTTGGGACACAAGAACGACCTAAACAGAGTCCGGATGGAAGAGTTATACCCGTTTGAAGTTTTAGTATCTGTGTTGGAAACAGGTACGCTCGAGTGGAAAAAGCAACGTTCGAGCGGACTGCGCGAATTCAACAACTTAAAAAGTAATTTTCTAGATCATTCTCTCCACTTTTCTTTTCTCTCTTCCTTCCTCTCATCCTAAGTCCGAAAAATCCTAGATTTTTTACCCAAATGCCTTTTATTTCTCAAAGATTTGGCCAAAATCTCTTACCAAAAAGTGAAGAATACATGAAGCTCAACATTTTCAACTGATTGGATTTTGGATTTTTGAAAGGATGCTCTTTATCTAGCTTTTTTGCTTGGTCCTTGAGGTAGAGACTTCTAGTTCTCCTTCAATACTCTCATTTATAGATAGATTTGTGGCATTCTCTTTATATAAATGCAAAATTTATATTTTTGAGCATGTTGTGGTAAATCATGAGATTTTGGGGTTTAGGGTTTGAAATATTGGGGTTTAAATTGTTGGGTTATGATTATGAGCTTATGAAATTAGGTGTATAATTAATAAAAAAGTTGGAATAAAAAGTGTTTGGATGAAAAGCTTAATTTTTCTTAAAACCCTAGTTTGCATCATGAAGATAGATGCAAGTTTTGCTTAAATTGAAAGTGGTGTTATGAAATTGGGGTGTTAAATTATACATATACAAGTTTATTGCATTTTGGAAGTGATTGGAAATTTATGTAAAAGTTACGATTGAATTCTTATTGTTAATCTTTTAATTATGTTACTATATGAAACTAAATTTGGGTAAATGAATTGTTAATGGTAGGGATCTTTTTCTACACCTTCATATGACTTTTAGTTAGTTATTTTGTCATTGTGTAACAAAGGTGAGATTTGGGAGTAGAATGAACAAACCTAGGGTTTGGGTATGAGATGAAAAGAGGGGTTTTTGGTGAAAATGAAATAAATGGGTATGGGGTTTGAATATGAGGTCATGTTGTGTTACAATGGTTGATTTTGGTACTTGGGTTGATTTTTATTTTTTTAAAAAAAAAAGGAGTTTTGCCCTAATTGGATCAAATTGTTATTTTATATAAATAATTAAAACTGTTATTGTAAATGTGAAATCAAATGATTATTAATGATGATAGTGGAGCTTGATATGTACTATCACTCCCATTTGAGATTTTGGAAAAGTGTATCTTTAAAGGAATTTATTTATCAATTTAGATATATTTGTTTTGGGCTATCGGTGGAGAATAACTATGATTGTTGTAGAAATTGTATGTTAACTAGGCAAACCAGACTATTTATAAATCATGTATATCTTGGAGCATGCAATGTATTTTGAAGATTTAAACTGTATGTTTTAGAAGGAGATTTTGAAAATTCTTGTGTTATGTTTTAAGTGCACTTGTTTCATTTTGAAAATCATATTTTGGATCACATGTGTTGTGCTATTTGAAAAGAGTAAATAATATGATAAGTTTGAAAAATGGTTGTCATTGAATATGACTGTGTGTTTTAATACATTGTATATGTATGATTGTTTAGGAGGAGAAAGGGGATGTACTTCATGTGTGATTATGCGATTAAATACATTGTATATGTATGTTTGTTTGAGAGGAGAGAGAGGATGGACTCTATTATAACTAAGTTGGCCAGAGTGTTCTAAGTGAAAGTCCCAAAATTTATACATGGGTGCCAATCCCGCAGACGAAATATTCGTAAAATGGCAGTTTGAAGTGTTTATGTGTATTTTGTATGATTGGAAAACCACTGAGTTGTAATCTCAGTTTAGTTGTTGAAAGATAATGAAATTGACTCATGAATTGAGAAGAATAAATGGACTGAAAATGAATTAAGGATTGAAATTGGCATCATGTGAGCAATTGGATTAGGGGCTAGTGATGATGAACTCAATGGATTGCGTATGACAAAAGGGAAGATTATATTTACCCCAACCATGTTTTTGCAACCCATAAAATATATATATATATATATATTTCTGTTTTTTCTGTATTTTCTATCACTATCTCATTAATCAAACCGACCTTGAGAAACTTGTGATTCCAACGCAGGAGAAACAAATCATAACCCGAGTCCCTTAAGGGACAAAAAAATACTTCACAATAGGGGCAAAAAGAATTTAATTTGATAACTTCCTTCCATCTTTTTCTTCACACCCGGTCACTGCATAAAATTTTAGTTCCCACAGTAACTACCCATTCCTGGATAATAGAATTAACTACTTCTGGCCGCTCATCATGAGGGCAATGGCCTGGGATTAACAATAGCATCAACATCAAGAAATACTCAGAAAAAGGTGAGCATTATTTTGCAGTAAAAACAAAAATAAGATTATCAGAATTACCAGCATCTAGTTCCTTGATTATGATTCCTTTGCAGTGCTCTCTAAGCATTGCGAGTTTCGACTTAGAGTCAGCAATTGGATCTTTCATTCCCTGACAGAAAAGAACATAATAGGAAAGGACAGGTGAGAAAATAAAAAATAAACAAAAAAATGAAGAGAAAAATCATAAATTTGTCTGAGCATGTGGAGAGCTAACCTGTATAACAAGAACCTGATTCTCAAATCCTTGCAAAAGAAAGTTAAGAGGAATAGAAAGATTGAAGGTGAAGATGCTTTCAAGAACCACAACCACACCAGGATCATATGACTAATATTTGTTAAGGTTACTCATAAGGGGGATTAACCATGTTTTTGCAACCCATAAAATATATATATATATATATATTTCTGTTTTTTCTGTATTTTCTATCACTATCTCATTAATCAAACCGACCTTGAGAAACTTGTGATTCCAACGCAGGAGAAACAAATCATAACCCGAGTCCCTTAAGGGACAAAAAAATACTTCACAATAGGGGCAAAAAGAATTTAATTTGATAACTTCCTTCCATCTTTTTCTTCACACCCGGTCACTGCATAAAATTTTAGTTCCCACAGTAACTACCCATTCCTGGATAATAGAATTAACTACTTCTGGCCGCTCATCATGAGGGCAATGGCCTGGGATTAACAATAGCATCAACATCAAGAAATACTCAGAAAAAGGTGAGCATTATTTTGCAGTAAAAACAAAAATAAGATTATCAGAATTACCAGCATCTAGTTCCTTGATTATGATTCCTTTGCAGTGCTCTCTAAGCATTGCGAGTTTCGACTTAGAGTCAGCAATTGGATCTTTCATTCCCTGACAGAAAAGAACATAATAGGAAAGGACAGGTGAGAAAATAAAAAATAAACAAAAAAATGAAGAGAAAAATCATAAATTTGTCTGAGCATGTGGAGAGCTAACCTGTATAACAAGAACCTGATTCTCAAATCCTTGCAAAAGAAAGTTAAGAGGAATAGAAAGATTGAAGGTGAAGATGCTTTCAAGAACCACAACCACACCAGGATCATATGACTAATATTTGTTAAGGTTACTCATAAGGGGGATTAACCATGTTTTTGCAACCCATAAAATATATATATATATATATATTTCTGTTTTTTCTGTATTTTCTATCACTATCTCATTAATCAAACCGACCTTGAGAAACTTGTGATTCCAACGCAGGAGAAACAAATCATAACCCGAGTCCCTTAAGGGACAAAAAAATACTTCACAATAGGGGCAAAAAGAATTTAATTTGATAACTTCCTTCCATCTTTTTCTTCACACCCGGTTACCGGATAAAATTTTAGTTCCCACAGTAACTACCCATTCCTGGATAATAGAATTAACTACTTCTGGCCGCTCATCATGAGGGCAATGGCCTGGGATTAACAATAGCATCATCATCAGGAAATACTCACAAAAAGGTGAGCATTATTTTGCAGTAAAAACAAGAATAAGATTATCAGAATTACCAGCATCTAGTTCCTTGATTATGATTCCTTTGCAATGCGCTCTAAGCATTGCGAGTTTCGACTTAGAGTCAGCAATTGGATCTTTCATTCCCTGACGGAAAAGAACATAATAGGAAAGGACAGGTGAGAAAATAAAAAATAAACAAAAAAATGAAGAGAAAAATCATAAATTTGTCTGAGCATGTGGAGAGCTAACCTGTATAACAAGAACCTGATTCTCAAATCCTTGCAAAAGAAAGTTAAGAGGAATAGAAAGATTGAAGGTGAAGATGCTTTCAAGAACCACAACCACACCAGGATCATATGACTAATATTTGTTAAGGTTACTCATAAGGGGGATTAACCATGTTTTTGCAACCCATAAAATATATATATATATATATATTTGAAGGTCTGGCTAATGACAACCAATGGGGGCTACAATTAAGGTGAGAAAAGAGCCAAAAAAAGTATGAATCCCGAGGTAATTTTTATACATTCCTTAGCACTTGACATATTTTTTAACACTTCATACATTCCCATGCAATTTTCTAAAAAATAAACAATTTAATGAGGATACAGCGCGTGTCATTTCACTAATAATCAAATCATCAGCTCGCTCTACTTGCTGCAAAGAATAATAATGTAGTTAATTTCAAACAAAGTACAACCAGAAACAAAAGTTGATTTACTAGGGAAGTGCATACAGTTGGGTAGCAGTTCTTCACTATACTCTCGATTGTTGACCTCAAGTAGAGTAAAAGGAGTCTAGCACCCAACCAGGCAGCTCCTGAAGTTTGCCTTTCCTGAAATATTTATAAAACGTAGACTTCTAGGCTGATGGAAGCAGAATATGACAAAATGTATGTAAAGGCCATGTTCAGAAAGAAATTTCTAGGAAGAAAAAAAAAACTGTTTGAAATAACATTGTAAATTCTAGGTCAAGTATAAATTGTAGATCTAGGAAAAGAAGATTGCAGAAAATTGTCCCGATATCTATCATTACTCTAAAGTTTGAGCACAAGGAGATTGGGCTAGAAACACAATTATAAACTGACTCATTAATTGCAATCAGCTTGAACTCTAAATTTTTTTTATGACTTTCTATCCAGCTATTTCAATACAGAACATGGCTCTAATTGGCTCCCAGGAGAGGAAAAAAATAAAAATAAAAAACAAACAAACAAACAAAATAAGTGCAAAGTAGGTGCTTGAAAAGGGAATAATTATCCTCTACTAGCATCCTTTCCAAGAAAACAGAATAGGACTCCATAATATTAAATATTTTCTACAAACAAATGTCAAGGACAATTTTAAGATGACATCTTCATATAATCAAATAAAGGAACAGGAAAATGCAAGCGCTAAATAATTGTAGAATATTACTAATGCTAGTAATCGGGTTACGAAACACATTAGAAACAAATTACAAGTAATATCTGGACACGTTAGCCATTTGCACAAAACATTTGAGTTTCCTTACTTCAGAAAATGGCACAGATGAATATCGAGGAACAACATTGCCAGCTGTGTTAATAAGGACAACGGATTTGCCTACAGCAGGCCAGAGGCCAGCAACAATTGCAACAAAATAGCCTGAGATAAAAAGAAAAATGAATTAGATTAGATAGCTTAAAAAAAGCAATAACTGACAAAAAGAGTTAAGAATTACTCAAAGACAATTTGATATGTGCTGCCGTGATCAGTGCTCAGCACAGCAACTAAAAGAGTTAAGAATTACTCAAAGACAATTCAAAAGTGGGTGGCTGGGTAATGATACAATTTACAAAAGATGCATACAACTAGTAAGTTAAACATACCACCCATTGAATTCCCAACAAGATGCACTGGTTCCCCCACAACTTCAATTATGAAGTCTCTGATCAATTCAGCCCACATAACTTCAGTGTACACAACATTTGGTTTTTCTGATCTGCCAAATCCCAGAAGCGTAATGGCCCAAACTCGGTTGCCACCTTCGGCTATACCATTTATATTGTCACGGTAATGTTCCAGGAAAGCACCAAAACCATGCACAAGAAGAATAGCTGGACCTTCATGACCAACGATTGTATACTGAAGAGAGAACTTTTTCTTAATGGCAGGCTAAAACAGAATTTAAGCTTTGAAAATATTTCCCCAAATTAACAAGTGTGCTTGTAATGTCAACCCTCACCTGAATTAGAAAGCCTTTCCATCTCCATATTCGAATATTGTATATTGTTTTATGAATAAATTGACTTTTTGAAGCCATAAGCCAATACCACTGCCATGATATTTAGTGATTTAGCTGAATCTTGAAAAAGACACTTCATACAAACATATCAAATTGTCAAAACAAGGACCTTTTTTTTTTTGTTTTTGTGTGTGTGTGTGTAGTTTAAAAAATATAGCAACAATGAATCAACAAAAACATTTGTGCAATACTAATACATAGGAGTTGGTTATGAAATTTATGTACCTCCATAGAGCAAACAGTATCAGCTACTGCAGCAACAGTGGCTGCTGAATATCCAAAGGGAGATAGAAACCCAGCATTTCTTTCTCTCTCATACTTAATAGCTTCATAATATGCTCTCCTTCTAGATACGATGCCAAGGCAGAGGGCAGCCCCAAAGAGAGTACCAAATGAAGCACCTTCACGACTTTCAGCATTGCGTAACTTTTCATGTACCCTGTATAAGGAATTAAACCACCAGGATGTGATGACAGTTACAAGAGTAGATTATTATGGCAACTGATTAGCTTATATAAGTGATTTTATTCCACTAGATTTGTAAATTATGTAAAATATAGAGAGACAAATTAGACGTGTAAATTATAGCATACAAGAGAAACTTTCCACGCTCTGCCTAGAAATACAAAGCTATGCAGTAATCATGTGCTGCCGTGATCAGTGCTCAGCACAGCAACTAAATCAGCGAATGGTGGTTAAATAACCATCAAAGATAATATCTGATTTAATTCTCCTCTTAGCAAGAAGACTGTGTCAATAACATATCCTTTTCAACCCAAGGATCAAATTGCATCTTCCTTACATGCAGACATTCCAATGCACATTTTGGATTGGCAACATTCGCAGTAATCATGTGCTGCCATGATCAGCGCTCAGCACAGCAACTAAATCAGCGAATGGTGGTTAAATAACCATCAAAGATGAATATCTGATTTAATACTCCTCTTGGTAAGAAGACTGTGTCAAATAACATATCCTTTTCAACCCATGGATCAAATTGCATCTTCCTTACATGCAGACATTCCAATGGACAATTTGGATTGGCAACATTCTTTCTTTATATGAAAGGACAAAGAAAGACATTTAGAGATTATCAAACTTGCCTCTTATACATGAGAGCTTAGCAGGGTTGAACCCAAAGACTAAAATGAAAATATACAACAATTCACATACATTAAAAACAATGAAAAAGATTACAGTAACAAAACACAAGGCCATTATAGGGTCAGTAGCAAATGCCAATACAGTTTTATGCATGCCATTTTAGTGAAAATGATAGTATTTACATACAATAACAACGCTCATTCTCTTTGTTTGTTCCTTTATTTTTCCAGTTAGTCAATGAAAAAGCTAATTTTGCAACTCTTACCCATAACACAAGCAGTTATCTTGCACGTATACATGTAGATTTCGTACATATATATTGATCCTCTAAAGTAAAGTTAGAATAAAGCAAGACACAGAAAGTGTCACACCAGAACTTCACATTGAGAGATGAAAAACTAGATGCATGAATCTCAAAAAGGCCAATTCACGTGTAAACAAAATTTAGAAATGAAGATAAAAGGAACTTAGAGTAATGAGTCACCACATACTCCTTCCAATCATCTCTGATGGTCCCCTCCAAGTATCTCAAATATGCAGCCAATGCCTTCAACACAACAGTGCTCCCACCTCCCACTAAATTCCCTCTTTGCGTTACAAACACAGATTCTGGTCTTTTGCTTTGGCCATGCTTATAAGAACTGTTTTGATTGCTTTCCCCTAACTTTGAGGACCCCAACCCTTCATTTTGATTACTTGTAGGCACAAACTGATTCTTACACAATACGGTTTCAGCTGAGATTTCCTTGATTGAAGTCCAATTATCTTTTGATTTTCCTAGACAGTCATTCATAAATTTCTTCAAATCATCAAGCGCAGGTATGGAACCTGATTCATAAAACAGTTAATTGTTTTCCCATGTCCTAATCACAATCATATACCAGAAACCTTCAAGGAACTACAAACCAAATTCAAAAGAAGATATAAAAAAACATTATCTAAGGTCTAAAGGTACAACACTCACCCAAGGTCAAGTCCACTTCTAAATTCGGTAATTTTGGCAGCGAGAGTGGTGAAATTACAGGGACCTTTAGTTTCTTGAATTCATGATATGATGCTGGCAGGTCCTTCAAGTTCTAGATAACATAAATAAGCATGAACCAATCACACATGAGGGACTTTTGACGCATTCAGATAACTAAATAAAAGAACATCAAAAATAAAGAAAAGAAAAGAAGATAATAGTGACCTTGATGTCATAAAGTGGAGTGTTCCATAGCACAAATCTTGGGTTCCCCTTTGGAAAAGACGCTGTTGCTAAGGTCTCACTAACAGCATCCATCATTCTACATAACTCGTACTCTACTTCCTCTTCAGCAAATATATTGGTAGCTTTCACCTGTTCCTTGTTGATGAATGTAACAAAATGAGTGGACAGTGCTTGAAGTTCTCCTTGCGCCTGGCAAGTTAAATATCAGAGTAAGCAAACCTAATGTGTAACAACCTCTTTTACAAGTTCTTGTATGACATTTTCTGCAGTCCCGAACCTGATCACTAGATCAGACCCCTGATCCTTTAATGATTTTCTTAAATCCTCTATGGCAAAAATAAGTAGTTCTAGCATTTCATCAGAAAAGCCTGCAGTAAACATGACAGCGATCAACATACTAGAGTTTGCATAATCGCACGGGCAGCAAATTGCACAATTTTATTTTCACAGTATATTAACTAACTCATGTCCTTGATATCATCAATTAATAACATGTTGGGCTCAAATTTTCTGAGCTTATCTCACTTAGCCCACATCCAGTAAGCTTGATTTGTCAGGACTCAGAAAGTGTGGCTCAAAGGCAAGAAAGAAGGTTCAGTAATCAAATTTATTTTTTATTTTTTATTATCAAAGGCTCAGTCATCGATTTGTCATTTGCATTTTCACCCAAATTCCGAATTAATCTCAAGACTCTGATTTTAAGACAATGCATGTAAATTACCGAATTACATACATTCGACCACATTTTTCAACAACCCCCTATATGAGTTTAGACATTTTGAAATCTTTAAAATCTTACAAATCACGAGGCAGTTATTATATTCCTATAACTCAATGTCAAGAATAGCTTCCCAACCTCGAAATTGGCCATCCTGGTGTGAAATCATGATCAGCTAGTTGATATAGTTTGCTGATGGGGAAGAGTGAAAAGCAAAAGCAACTTCTCAAAGAGAAACACTAAGTTGAGTGAATGAATGAAAGATGTAGCCCCCAAGGGCTTTGTGTGTGTGGATGTAGGCTAATATTGGCTGAATCACATTAAACATTTGTAACTAAACCAAACCAAACCAAGCCCTAAGTCCCATCAAATGAGGTTGGCTACATGATTCCTTCTTCTCCACACGGCCCTATCAAAGGCCATTTCATTAGTCAAATGTACGTTAAACATTTGTGTTCTTTATTTTCTCTTTTTTGTCTCTACTATCTCTCCATATCCAACCTTAATGCCTTTTTACAAAATTCAACTGAGACCCACAAATTAGATCCGTAAATTCATTGACAATGACGTGGCTTGGGAGTTATACCCTATATAGTTGACTATACATATGACAAATCAAAGACATTATTAGGGTCAAATTGTTGGAATTTTTTAACATTTTCCCTTCACAAGAAGTGAAATAGATGGTGAAGTGCATCACGAATTTCATTGGCATTCATGAAGTAGCCTGCAATTGATGACTTTTACACATAGATTTGACCTCAACCCAGTCTACGAAGTTCAACCCAGATTTGTTGGCTTTGCATTTCTTTATGATGCATCGTGTACTAACATTATTAGTGCAGAAGCAAACTCCAATTTAGTTCAATTTGAGGTTCTCATGATGTGTATCATTTATGTTGCTTTTGATAACAATGAAAATAGAAATCAAAGAACAAATCCACACACACACACAATTCAAACAGCGAGAGAGAGAGAGAGAGAGAACTGACGCGAGAGAATTCGGCAATCGAACACGTAGAAAGGAACAAGAGTCCGATATTTGGAGGCAGCTAGGATTCCCGGGTGATCGTGGATCCGAAGGTCGTGCTTGAACCAAAGAAGGGCAGCTCCTCCTCCGGTACGACTGGATTCTGCTCTGGTGGGAGTCAAACAACACTGATGTTTGGTTGGTGGACGATAGGAGGAGGAGATGAACGAGAGAGACGGAGAGCATACAAGAAGCGCCATCAAAGGATAGCACTCAGAAGAAGCAAGTAGTGCTAGTAGTATTGTCCATTACACTCTGTTTGGGTTTGTGAGAAAATAAAAAATAAAGTGTAAATTACACTGACACCTGATATTTATGTTTATTATAGTTCTTTCATTACCTTTTAGAAATTACATCTCTCTTTAGGTTTAAAGTTTCATTACAGATCCTCCCTCAGTAATTTAATTTTTTTAAATACTAATTTTGCCTTCATTGGATAAATTACATTGACACCCCTCATATTTTAAATATTACAATCCTCTTCTTAAGATTTAAAGTAGTATTACCAATTACCCCACCAGTTAGTATTAGTTGGAAAAAAATTATTTGAAAAAAAAATTTGTTAGTAAAATTTTTAAATTTTTGTTTAAAAACCAAAATAAGCTCATTTTTTGAATTTACGTTTTTTTTCTTAAATTTATAAACTGAGACAATCATTTATAAACAAAAAAAATTATCAAATAAATTTTTATGGCAGTTTTTAAAATTTTTGTAAATACAAATTGAAAACTGAAAACGAAATTAGTTACCAAACAGGCTTCAAATGGTAAAAATGTTGTAAAATTAACAAATAATTAAATAAGTTACTAACGTAAGAAATGACTTATCAAAAGATTCTTAGGCTCTGTATGATTTGATTTTTAGAATTGTTTTTTAAAAATTGAAATTAATATGGTTAAGAAATAAAAAATAATAATTATTTTATATAATTTTTATATTTCGAGTGGTTAGAAATAATTTTTTACAAATTAAATTGAAACAGTTATACGTATGTATATAACCTGTCCAAAAGTTAAAATGATAATTATTTTTTACCCTTAAATGATAATTATTTTTTATTTTTTATTTATTAACCAAATTAATTTTTAATTTTTAAAAATTTTTTCTAAAAATCAAACCATACATAGTTTATGGATCTTTTGATAAGTCATTTCTTACGTTGGTAACTTATTTAATTATTTGTTAATTTTACGACATTTTTACCATCTGAGGCCTGTTTGGTAACCATTTCGTTTTCAGTTTTTAATTTATATTTACAAAAATTTTTAAAACTGTCATAAAAACTTGTTTGATAATTTTTTTGGTTTATAAATGGTTATCTCAGTTTGTAAATTTGAGAAAAAATGTAAATTCAAAAAATGAGTTTACGTTAATTTTTAAACAAAAATTTAAAAATTTTACTATCAATTTTTTTTTTCAAATAATTTTTTTTCTAATTAATTTTTTTTTCAATGAATTTTTTTTCCAACTAATACTATCCGAGAGGACAATTGGTAATGCTACTTTAAGCCTTCGGGAAGGGATTGTAATTTCTAAAATGTGAGGGGTGTCAATGTAATTTACCCAATGAGGGCAAAATTAATATTTAAAAAAATTAAATTGTTGAGGGGGAAATCTATAATAAAACTTTAAACCTCAAGAGAAAATGTAATTTTTAAAAAGTAAAAGAGAGAACGGTAATAAATATAAATTTCAAGGAGTGGCAGTGTAATTTTCTCAAAATAAAAATAAATGGTGGGAATTAGAAAATTGTGAGAATTAGAAACGACCTTTTGATGATTAACGACAGTGAGGAATGGATGGTTAATGAAATTTCTTAAGGACGCTAAGAAATTGCGAGCGATAGACTCGTTTTGTTTCACATAAAAAAAATAATGCGATTTAGGCCTCGTTTGACAAATAATTTTTTTAGTTAAAAAGTTAAAAAGTCATTAAAAAAATAAAAAAATTGGCAGTCTGTATTAAAAAGTTAAAGATTTTTTTTTCTCTTTATTTTTTGCATCATATTTTAACCAACAACTTAGTTTTTTTTACATCATATTTTAGTTAAAAAATCAAAAAATTACTAAAAAAATTTATTCTCAAACGAGGCCTTAGTGACAAAATAATTGAATTTAATGAAATTTATTAAAAATATTAAAATATTGTTATGAAAAAAATATAATTTATTAACATAAAAAGTTTTTTTAGTAATACGAAATAAAATACTTTCTTTTTATTTTTATTATTTATTCTATCTAAATAAAATAAGTAAGAAATTATATTTTTATTTTTATTCATTCAAAATAATGATAAAAAATTATAATTACTTTTTTCTTTTCTTATCTAAATGAGAGAGAAAGAGAGAGAGAGAGAGATATTTTAAATTGGATTAGATTTACATGGTTCTTGGCTTCCCACACTGAGATTGTGGAGGAGAATGAATTAAGAAGAGCCGTACTTGGGATGGATGAGTCCGGATCCTCTCCAGAAAACTTCTCCGAACATTCTTCTTGTCAACGGTCAGGATTTGGCTACATCACCAGGGTCAAAAGGTACGGCTCAGATCAAGTTTGGTTTTATAAAAAAAAAAAATTCAATTTTTTTTTTCTTTCACAGATTCATTCGAGGCCTCGAAACTATCAAACTCTTTAGTTTTGCCACTCTGCTCTCTCCCACCTTCTTCAACCCCATTACCACTCTCTATCCTCACTTTTCTCTCTCGATCCCCTCTCTCCCATTTGTTCACGCCCCAAAAACGCCTTGATCCAATCAATGCGAGATCAAAATCAAAAAAGCCCTAACACCAAATCGATCAAAAAGGTACTGAAAGTTATCTTTTCCATTATCAACGGCGAACATCGACGGCGACGAACATCAAGCGAACCAGAGCTCCGGCGACCGCGAACTAGAGCCATTATCATGCACAATGAAAGCAATTGACGATATATATATATATATATATAATATACATACATCTGTATCTATTTTGTATATATATATATATATGTATGAATTGGAGTTCTCTGTTTCTAATCTCCAATGAATGACCATTATCTATTTTGTAAATATATATATATATATATGTATGCATTGGAGTTCTCTGCTCATTATAAATCAATTCTTCACTTCGATTGTTTTTGCTTTTTCTCGAAGATTCCTTCCACAAATAGCACACAAAAAACTCCAGCTCTCATACATTACCAGCAATGTTCAATCTTCATCGATCAAGCCAAGTCCTGATCGCGAAAGTATTCAATTTTAATCAACATATATAGCAAACAAAATTGGAGAAGATTGTTGCTATGTTGAGTGAAAAAAAAATTTTGATTTTTTTTTTTAATTTATAAAACCAAACTTGATCTGAGCCGTAGCTTTTGGCCCTGGTGACGTGGCCAAATCCTGGCCCTTGACAAGAGGAATGGCTGGAGGAGTTGGCTAGAGAGGATCCGGACTCGGAATGGATGGGGAACGAGAATAATGGGGGTCCATTTATGCTTGTTTTTTTAAGAAGGTTAAAAGTTTTTTTTTTTTTTGATTTTTTTAATAAATATATAAAAAAATAAAGAGGTGATATAATTAAAAAGTTAAAAAATCAAAAAAATAATATTTAGTCGAGTTGCCAAAACAAGCCTTAGTGTAATTTAGAATAGAGTTGAGTAAAGAAATCGAAAAATTCACAAACTGAATCGGTCCAGACTAATTTGGTAAGTTTTGTTTGATTGCTTTAATTCATGGTTTGGTTTTGGTTTAAAAAATTAGAGAATTGGTCTCCATAGATTAGTTCCAGATTTAAGTACATGGTTTTGGATTTGAATCGAATCGAATCGGACCGTATAAGTTACACCATATATATTTATTTGTTAGATATTATATATGTTTAAATTAATGGTAGAACAATGTACATATTTATGTTTCGAAAAATTATGACAGATTAATGTCATTATTATTTTTAAAATTTATGATAAGTTGAATTTTTTTGAAAAAATTATGTGATTTTTTTTGTGAACACATTATGTGAAATCGTGATTCCAATCCGAACCGAACTGCATTTAAATGGTTTGGTTCGGATTAGTTCTACGATTTTAATGGTTTTGTTTGGTTTTAATTTTATGAAATCAAAGACAATAAATTGATCATGGTTTCATTCAAACCAAATCGGACCATACTCACTCCTTATTTATTGTGATTTTTTTTTTTGTTTTTTTGGATTTTTAACTTGCAAGATCATTTTCAATCCTTAATTTTTTTTAATTAAATTAAATTTAATGAAAAAGTGCTTAAAAATTATTTAATCATTTCATCAAATATTTTTCAAATTAAGAGATATATTTATTTTATTTTATTAAATTGAGAATTTATCAATTTTTTTATCAAATTTAAATTTGATAAAAATTAAAAAAAAAAATTTACGGGGGAAGGGGGGGATTCGAAATCGTGACCCCCTAGTGAACGAATCCTGAACAATACTTAATAGATAAGATGTTGATTCAGTGAAGTTCTTAGTTGCTTGTGCAGTGTAGAATGTAGGAATGGCCAACATAAATGAAGTTCTTAAAAATTCTAAAATATTGATTTGGAATTATAATCTAATTTTAAATAATGAATAATAATTTTAATTAAACAATTAATAACAAATTGACACAATGATTTAACGTAAAAAAAAAAAATCATAATTGGAGCACTTTTAATTATGATAAAAAATTACAGGTCAAAAAGAAGACAAAAAAATGAATTACACACAAGACTCTACATTACTTAGCGAATACACGCTCGAATTGAACCATATCCGACGTGCCTCTTCCACCACGATCTTCACCTCGGAATTGTTTTGTCTAACATTGAATCCACAATGCCAATGTCAAATCCATGATGATGAGCCACTCCAGAATCCACCAAAGTTTCAGGCCCAAGTTCTCTAGAATCCACCAATGAACACCTCTATCTTTTTGTGAATAAAAAGAACAAAACAACCCTTGATGTAACGCCTCGAAATAGCAACAACCCGCATCATAATATTCCGTAGAATGAATTACTAGCATTATATTTAGCTTTTCATTGATACTCCTCGATCATACAAAAGATGACATATGCGTATATAAATTTTTAAATCATAGATCTTGAATCTATAGCATATGACATGTGTACATGAATAGAAATAAAAGGAGATACGGATAAGCTTATACCCTAATGGCTTTATCTTTCAAAGTCAATGTTTGGTTACAACAAAATGAATTCAACCAAATACAGTTAAAGCCTATGGCTTGTAAAAAAATAATTACATAAAAAAAAAGAA